CTGAGCCCGTGGGTTCGAGACCCGCCTGGGCAACTTGGTGAGACCTCATCTCTACAATAAATCAAAAAAAAATTAGCCAGGCAGGTAACACACGCCTCTAGTTCCAGCTACTTGGAAGGCTGAGGCGGCAGGATCGCCGGAGCCCAGCAGGTCGAGGCTGCAGTGGCCAGGAGCACTCCAGTCTGGATGACAGAGTGAGACTCCAACTCAAAAATAATAATAATAATAATAATAGTTGACAGCATTTGGCGCTGACTAGGCGGTGTCCGAAGAGCTCTGCATACTGTACCTCAGCTCCTTGCTGTACTATTCTCAGTAGGTGACATGCAACACACAGGGCCATTAGTTCCCAAGTCAGAGCCACGAGGGCCATCCGTGGGGACGAGATCTGTGATCCTCGCAGTGGTGTCCCTGTTGAGATATAAAATACACGAAGCCACAGTCACAGGAGGTACAAGAACTCAGGTCATGTCTAGGAACTGCCCAGGGATTGTCCACCGGGCCTGATCATGACTAAATAACCTGCTGCTGGAATCCTGGATTCCTCCTTCTCAAGTTCCCGAGAGTCACAGCAACTGGCTGCTACCTGATGCTCAGCCACTGCCACTCCTTGCCACCAGCGGCCCCGGGGTCTTTGTTTGTGCCTAGCGGTCCTGGGTTCTTGGTCATGCCTAGTGGCCCCGGAGTCTTTGGTCATGCCAAGCTTTGCTACATGCTCCCTCTAAGCAGCAACAAAAATATAGACAGGGCCAGCCTTTGCCTGTCCCTCCCCACCCAAAGAGAAAGGAAAAAGAGATGCTACTCTCCCCTATGTGGCTGCCCCACGTGCATGTCCGGCTTGCTGGCCTTGCCTGGCCCACGGACCCCTCTGCTACCCTGACCACCATTTTCTTCTGCCCATCCAGATCGTGGCCGCCATCCTCGCCATTGCTGGCATCGTGATGATGACCTATGCCGATGGCTTCCACAGCCACTCCGTCATCGGCATCGCACTGGTAGTGGCCTCCGCATCTATGTCTGCCCTCTACAAGGTACGTGTGGAGACCAGCTCTCGGGGCGGACCTGGCTCTCCTCGGCCAGCACAGTTGCCTTGGGTGCCTGGTCCTTCACTTGGTGGGGCTTTCCAGAAGCCTGTACTCTCAGTGGGCACCAGGCTGACGGAGATGCATCCAAGGTCATGGAGGGCGAGGGTGAGTGGCCGCCCTTGGTTTGGGCTGTCTGGCCTTTTCCATCTGTAGCCCCCTCTCTGCAGCATTTGGGATAACGTGGGTGGCATGCACTGAGTCAGCAGAGGCAGAGTCCTGACTTCATCGCAAAGGTAGCTGGAGTTCAGAGTTTGCTCAGATAAATTCCCACCTGATGGGATGCAAAGACTTGAATACCTGGTGCTACTTTGTCATGTGAGTTCTTACCCACAGTTTGTGCAGTCGTCACTGCTTGGTGGGAATCCATGTGCATGGCAAGCACTCCCTTGTGGGCTAAAGAGATAAAAACCCAACTGCTGTCAGAGGGGGTTATGAGGTATTTTTGGCAAAACGTTGAGAACCGTGGAAAGGCGCTTCCCAACTGCAGGCCCAAGTCTTATGGAAACCAGTTTTTATTCCCACACCCGACCCCTGGCTCTTTCACCCTCATCCCTATCAAGCCTCACTTCTCTCTTCCTCTCTCCTCCTCTTTGGTCCACGGTAGAGAATTGCCCATGTGTCAAATGGTATGGGTTCTTTCTCTGGAACGCCTCTCATGGAGGGGCTGTGAGGATCTAGCCCCTTTCTGAGCCTTCAAAGCCACTGTGCAAATGCAGCCATGACTAAAAGGTGACATTCTGCTATATTCGGCTGTGTATTAATGAGACACAGTCCACCATGAGCACAGTGTTCAGATTCAGATTTCCGTCTCCTCCTCTACCGCCTGCAAGTTGTCCAGAGAGGCTGCTAGGCGGGAGGCTAAAAGCTGTGCCTGTCCTTTCCCATACCCCCTGCCCCTGGGCCAGGAGATAGCTGGAGAAGTTGGGAAATGGCTGAGCAGGAAAAGTGGGGGAAAACAATGCAGAGACCCCCTCGAGACCACCAAGTCACTCCGCACAGGGCTGGGCTGATCCCTCTGCTCCTCCAGGTTCCATTTCTACTCATTTCGGTCACCTTCGTCCGTCTCCTCCCGACCTTCTGAGCACCTGAAATGATGTATAAGCAAGAACAGGTGTAAGAGAATAAAATTCTGGTACATTCCACCGAAACCCCTGCCACTTCCGAAATAGGGGTGGTGGGATGGAGCTGAGATGAGGAAAATCCCTCCACCCTTGGTTTGCAGAAAGTATCTTTGCAGCCAAAGGTCTTTCTCTTGGGGACAGTGGTTTTTACACTGTGTTTGCAGGGCCAGGGACCCAACTTAGGGCTCCCTGAGAGGGTGTGTCCTCATGGCAGCTACCTCTAGGCGATGTGGTGTTGTGAACACAGCACAGGCAAATCCAGCCTGGTGTGAGGGCCCATGACTCCTGGGCTGCTCTCTATTGGAGCCAGAGGGTAGCTCTCCACCACCGCGTCACTGGGAACTGAACATGTAAGAGGAGCACAGGCCAGGCCCTGTTCACTTTACGTGGACCATGGTGTTATCCTGCAGTGCAGCCCAGCCTTCTGGCGGACACTCCACTTCACTTCTGTCAAGCTGGGGCCTGAGGTGAGCCCTCACTCTCCTCCTGTTTCCTCCTGCAGGTCTTGTTCAAGCTCCTCCTGGGCAGTGCTAAGTTTGGAGAAGCCGCCTTATTTCTGTCCATTTTGGGTATCTTCAACCTCCTCTTCATCACCTGCATTCCTGTCATCCTCTACTTTACCAAAGTGGAATACTGGAGCTCCTTTGATGACATCCCATGGGGAAACCTTTGTGGATTTTCAGTTCTCTTATTGAGTAAGTGGCGCCCACCCTGTCAGGGACCCCAGAAAGCAGCCACGGACCGAGGACTCGCTGGAAACCCTCGCCCTGAAGGAGAAAACCCATGCTTATTGTTATTCTTAAGTCCTTGCTACTTTTCAAGATCTTTGTGTTTCAGAAAGTCTTTGAAATGATGATGCTGGATTCTGATTCCAGAACCAGAGTCACTGTCATAGTATCAGTGGTCCTTGCTTCTCTAAGTTGTGAACTAATGGCCCTGTGGCTTATATGTCGCCTACGGAGAACAGTGCAGTGTGGAGTTGGTACAGTAATACACGCAGAGCTCTTAGGACATTGCCTGATCAGTGTCGATGTTCAACTGATACCATCAGCTATCATTATTACAAATGTCATCTATACCATCATGGCCACCATTACTCAGTGTGAGATTAGTGCTAGGCAGGAAAGCAAACAAGGAGGTGACCCACCCAGTTTCCCTCGAAAAACACATACCCGCCGAGCATGGTGGCTCAAGCCTGTAATCCCAGCACTTTGGGAGGCCGAGGCGAGAGGATCGCCTGAGCTCAGGAGCTTGAGACCAGCCTGGGCAAATTGGTGAGACCTCATCTTTACAATAGTTCAAAAAATAAGCCGAGCATGGTAGTGTACGCCTGTAGTTCCAGCTATATGGAAGGCTGAAGTGGAAGGATCACCTGAGCCCAGCAGGTTGAGGCTGTAGTGGCCATGAGCATGCACTCCAACCTGGGCAACAGAGTGAGACTCCAACTAAAAAAAAAAAAAAAGAAAGAAAGACACATACCCCAAAGTTTCTGTGCATATGTCATTCCAGAACCCTGCCAGGAGCAGAGGCAACACAGCTGGTGAAATGGTCTAGTCCCCTTTTCTAGTACCTTCTTACCTCTTCTGAATTTCTTTTACTTTCTTCAAAGTTCAGGGAACAGAGTTTCTGTCCCTAATCTCATGTCCTGGAACCGCTGAAAGAACCTCAAATTTACTAAACCAGAATAAAAGGTCATTGTAATTCCTGTGACTCCAGCCTTGTCAGAGAAACTTGTCAGCCTTGTCAGCTGGGCTAGCAAAGAGGTAAAGTACAGGTCAGCCATGAATAATACCCACTTTTCACATTCTTTATTTCAGCATTCAATATTGTATTAAATTTTGGAATTGCTGTTACCTATCCCACTCTGATGTCTCTTGGAATCGTCCTCAGTGTACCTGTGAATGCAGGTAAATTTATATAACTTTCTATATCTGCTTGTAAACACACACATATACACACTCACACATTCATATATTCACTCACACACACACATATACACACACTTACACAAGCACATATATATACACACACATACATATATTCTTCACTCACACACACATACACACACACACACATGCTCACACACACACTCTCTCACATATATACTCACATATGTTCTTGCTATGCCTGGTGTGGAATGCATGTTTAGCCTTCTGCAAAGAAAAAAAAAAGTCTAGGTAAAATGTTGTTTGTTATCTGTGCACTATTTTCTCCAGCATGGATTGATTTTCATATACCACACCAAACTATAGAAAGTCTAAAGCCATCTCGATTCTAACTGGTTGGGACCAAGAGGAATATCATGAGTAATTTGAATAAAGGTAGAAACTCACAGAGCAGAGAAAAATTTTGATTTTTGCAAGTGACTTCCTGAGGGGAGAGAACTGGCTTGGGGTCCGATGTAGAAACATGCTGACACGTTGAGGAAGCGTGAACATTGTTCCTCCGCCTCCCAGAAGAGAGGAGAGACTTGCTGTGCACAGGTACACGGGACCCTGCTTGCTCCCCCCCGGGGGCTCGTTGCCAAGGCGCACAGCAGACAGCTCTTCCTGGAGCTTGTCTTTACCTGCCCGCACCTCCCTTTTCCTGGCTCACGCTGCTGTGAATTTTAGACTTTCTCACCAGAATCCCCTGGCCTCCCACTGACCACCCTGCATGTCCTTTCTCAGCCAGAACAAGGCTATGAACCCCTCTCCTCCAGAACATTCACGCGCTTGGCCCTGGCACAGCTTCCTCCAGAGCCGTCTCCTGAATCCCCTATCTCCCAGCCATTAGAGCCATTAGAGGATCAAGCCCTTCTCCTGCTCAATATGATGATAGAAACACCCACGTATACACACACATATATACAGACCCCATGGTGGCCCCAGGCCCTCCCGGCAGGACCACCTCATGACACAGTGTGAGAAGGACCCGGTGGGCATCAGGAGAGACGGGACGCGGGCCCACCTGGAGGTCTGTGGTCCCAAGGCATCAGCTCTCTGGGCCTTGGCTTCTCTCCTCTGCAAATGAAGGTCATGCCTCGCCTTGCTGCTTCGGTTGATATGAGACCCAAACGAAGTTATCTACAAGACAGCACTTCCAGATGCAGAAGGCACTCAAGCTCCTGGACAGCTCATAAAAAGTGGTCCAGACCCTGCAGGCTTCTGAAAAACAGCTGATCAACCCACTCCCCCTCATTCGTTGCATCTTTAATTTATAGTCACACAGTATTTCTGTCTCGAGAAGGCATTTTATAGGCACATCATACAGAAACTGACTTTGAGTGTTTAATATAGGCAGGTGTTCGAGAGATTGATCAAAATCATTTCTCATTACTTACTGCCACATAAGAGATTTGATGATGTGTCAACACAAAGAATTGCATGCAGTGCTTGACTGGGGGAGAGAAGCAGAGGAACCTGCTGGGCTTATCAGATCAGAGCGTGCCCAGCTGCAGGGCCCTCTCTGACGTCTGCTTGTGAGAATGGCTGGTTGACTGTCCTCACGTGCTGGATGAACAGAATGTTTTGCTGATATTAAAAATTAAGATACAGCTGGGCTTGGTGGCTCAGCCTGTAATCCTGCGCTTTGGGAGGCCGAGGTGAGTGGATTGCCTGAGCCTGCGGGTTTGAGACCCTCCTGGGCAACTTGACGAGACCTCATCTCTACAATAAATCAAAAAACTCGCCGGGCGTGGTAGTGCGCGCCTGTGGAAGGCTGAGGCGGAAGGATCGCCAGAGCCCAGCAGGTCGAGGCTGCGGTGGCCACTGCACTCCAGTCTGGGCGATGGAATGAGACTCCAACTCAAAAAAAAAAAAAATTAAGATACAATTGAGTCTTGAACAACCCGGGTGTTAGAGGCACCAAACTCCGCCCCCCCCCATGCATATAACTTTTGACTCCAAAGCATAACTTTTAATAGCCTACCATTGACCAGAAGCCTTCCAATAACATAAACGGTGGATGAACACGTATCTGGCATGTGATATGTATTATATACTGTATTCTTACCACAAAGTAAGCTAGTAAAAAAGAAACTATTAAGACAGTCATAGGAAGAGGAATATATATTTGCTGCCCATTATGTGGAAATGGGTCATCGTAAAAGCCTTTATCCTCATCATCTTCACATTGAGTAGGCTGAGGAGGAGGAGGTTGTTCTTGCTGTCTTGGGCGTGCCAGAGTTGAAGGACATTTGGCGTGTAAGTGGACCCATGCGGTTCAAACCCATGTTGTCCGAAGGACAACTCTGTGTGTGCATGTGCATGTGCGTGTGTGTGTGTGATATATATCTCCCCAACTGCCCCTGTTCATTCTTTTTTTCTGTCTCACACAAATGAATGTCTGAACTAATGCCAGCTGTGTTTTGGGAGTTGAAATACAAGGGTAAGGCCTCCCACCAGAGAGGTTTATGAAGCTATGGGTGAGATCCTAGTGGCCACCCCAGCCCACCTGGAACAAAATCATTCTGAGGAGGATCTCGTGGTCTGAGGAAGACCACAACCCCACCAGACGGACAGGGCTGTCCCAGGCCCCGCCCCCTCTCCAGGGCTGCCCCTCTTGCCCTGGGCCCCACCCAGCTCTGCTACCCAGTAACCCCCGCACTCTGTCTCCCACAGTGGTGGATCACTACACCAGCCAGATTGTCTTCAACAGCGTCCGGGTCATCGCCATCATCATCATAGGCCTGGGCTTCCTCCTTCTGCTTCTGCCAGAGGAGTGGGACGTCTGGTTGATCAAGCTGCTCACCCGCCTCAAAGTGAGGAAGAAGGAGGAGCCCTCGGAGGGCGCAGACCTGGGCTCCGGCCCTCAGAGCAAGAGCAGAAGAGGCCGCCCTTCCTTGGCCCGCTAGGCCACGCTCCAGGACAGGACGTGCTGGGGCACCTCACGCGAATGACTGGGAGGTCTCTTCCTTACGGGAGGAACCTCAGTGGGGCGAGGTGTACATACCTGTACAGTTTTGGTCATCTGCGGTAAGTCCTGCGGTATTTATTGGCATGTCCAACTTGCTTGCACTTTTCCACATCAGACCTTCCACTCCAGGGTACCGATCAAGACGGACGAGGGAAGAAGAACCTCTCAGCGCTTTTCCAGTGAATGTAAAGTGGGTTAAAGTGATCTTTGCATAGATTGTTCTGGATGATTGATGCTCTTGACAAGCCAGGGCAAATGTTTTGAATCTTAGCCACCGAACATGACATTGTACACTGTGATTATTTTTCAGCTATGGTAGGTCATATTTTGTTTTATACCAGAGCTGCACTCTTAATTTCAAGGAATTTCAGTGAACCAAAAGAGAACTGTCAATTACTGTGGATGGACGGATGGACAGAGGGAGGGAGAGAGGGATGCCTGGGATGTGAAGAGGTGAGGCAGACACAGATAACGGACATCAAACACCGTCAGAGGACGGGCCTGTGCCGGGTCACGGGGAGGGCAGGATGGGTCCAAGCCCCGGCTGGCCTGCTCTCACGTGTCTGCGTAAGATCATGCGAGAGAAATCACAGTGCCTTCTACAGAATTTTCATCTTTACCTATGTGAAGCGAGGTGACGTGATAAGTCACTGGCGCTGTCTTATAATTTAGATGTAGAAATCTTTAGAAACAAATAAAACTATTATCTGTGAGTGCGTGTGCGTGTGCGTGTGCGTGTGTGTGTGTGTGTGTGTGTACCAAAATGACAAAGGTGATGGCCAGTGTATACAGAACGTGTCCGAAGTGTACGATACGCATATAAGGTGGATTGTGCAGGAGGAGATTGCTGGTTGCTTTTACTTCCCGACCAAGACTGAAAAACTACTTACTGAATCCATAAACCTTTTTATGAAACTTTTAAGCACCAGGCTGTTTAATTACACAATTTAGGTCTGCCAGAAAATTCTATCTGTGATAGATCTGTAAAGAGGGACAGGGGTTAGAGTTTACTATTTTTGAAGTTTACATTGTTACATATGAAATGGAAACCTTATTTTGAAATGTTGTCATAACCTAATGGTGCATTCTGTAACCATTGGAGTCTTTTGTTTGGGGGAGGGAGGGCAGAAGAGGCATTCATGACCTGAACTTTTTAGCAAATTATTATTCTCAGTTTCCATTACCTGTTTGGCCAAACAGATTAATAAAATATTTGAAAAAGAAGCCTTCAGTGCTGTCTTCATGGCCTCTCTGTCACTTTCTCTCATAGTATCTGGTTCATCCTCCCAGCACCATCAAGGCAGGTAAGGCGGCCCACCTACCTCAAGGGAAGGAAACGTCCCAGAATGATGAGTTGACGTTCACAAATGTAGAAAGCAGACTCATCCTCCCAGGCCTCATAGAAACTGGCAGTCTCGAAGCAGCTTTTTCTTTCCTTCCTTCTGCTCTTTTTCTCTCATTGCTCCCTGTTGTGCCAGACCCCCAAAGACCTCCAAAGGGAAAGCACGCCAAAGAAATGGCCTAGAGACAACGGACAAAACATGGAATTCATTCGGGAATTTGGCTATAGGGAAAGGCCGGGAGCAACCGGCTAAACAAGAAGAAACCACTCCCGATTGTAACGGCACACAGGTTAAATCGCACCTTCCACAGAGCGGAGTGCAGGGTGAAACATGAGAAGGGTAAGGTTTCTAGTGCGAAGGTGTAGTGTAAGAACACACTTACATATGCATTGCATGTACACGGAATGGCTGCAATTTCTCTCTAGGGTTGGGTTTTTTTTGTATCATAACAAACGAAAGGTGAACTAAAGGGAGCCCAGGGTTGAGGGCATTGATCCGGGTGGGCCCAATCTGGTCTGAAGCAGCCTGGGAAGCCAACTACCTCAAGGAAGCGTGTGCAAAAATACTCACTGATGTGGTCAGCAGACACGGAGGACACTTTGCCCGTGGCCTCAGCATGGCCTGTGGGCCCAGGCCTGGAGCCTGAGAGGAAGAGGACCACCCGGCTGGCCATCTCCAGGACTCCTCCCCGGGCCCCGGCCCCCTGCTTGGGGCGATAGTCAGGGTGTGCTCATGTTGTCACTGAGTGTGCATGGCCCCACACTCCCTCAAGGCACCTGCCCTGCCTGTGGCTTCCTCCCCGCTTTTGCTTTTCAGATGGTTCCTCAGCTCATCTCATGCTGGTCTCTTAGGGCTGCCAGAATGGCAGTCCCAGTCCCTAAATCCACACGGTCTTCCAGCTCAGCCCTGCCTGCCGCTCTGGGCCTCCTGACCTAATTAGGTAGCTGTTCCAGGCTCTATAATGGGATTCCCCGGGTCTCACTCCAGGACTGCAGAGGGCCAGTGCTCTCTCACACGGGGTGTGAGCAGAGAGAAAAATGGAGCCTCTTCAGGATGCCTCAGCTCACCACCCACACCTGGGCATCTACACTCCAGGCACCACTGGCTATGTAGGCTCTGAACCTGGAGAATCTAGTTGTCCTGAGCAGAGGGTTCCTCTACCCAATGTGTCCAGGTGCATGCTGGGAGTAGTTGGGGCAGCAGGATCCTGGACCAGTCGCCTCCACCACCCTGTTAAGGCTCCAAACCCCGCCAGCTACCCTCTGAGCCAAACACATATTTCCTTTGTAAGCCACCGTATTAAAAAGTTGGAAAGCCCTACCCTAGAGTAGATTCATCTTATTCTCTCATTGGGCACCTGGGGAGCCAAAAAGAATTGAGAGCAGGGACTCGGAGAGATATCCGCACACTATTCCCAGTAGCCAGAGGGCAGAAGCAACCCAGGTGCCCAGCGACAGAGACACCGATAAATAAAATGTGGCATCTGCATGCAATGGACTGTTATTTAGCCTCAGGAGGAAGGAAATTCTGACACATGCTACAACACGGTTGAACCTTGAGGATGCCGTGCTAAGGGAAATCAGCCAGCCCCCAAAGGACAAATCCCGTGGGATTCCACTTACAAGAGGGTCCTAGAGCAGTCAGAGTCACAGAAACCGAAAGGAGAGTAGTGGTTGCCAGGGGCTGGGGAAGGAGGGGAGAGGAATGGGGAGTTCGTGCTTAGGGGGTACATAGTTTCAGTTTGGGAAGATGAAAACGTTCTGGAGACGACGACGGTGATAGGAGCACAACAGTGTGTGAGTGTACTTGATGACCCAGAGCTGTATGTTTAAAAATAGCTAGAATGGGAACATTTATGTTATGCGTGTTTTACTAGTTTTGTTTTGTTTTGTTTTAAAGATGATGAAAGGTAAGGTGTGTGAAATAAAATGGTTAAAACTCTCTGTAGGCCGGGCTCGGTGGCTCAGCCTGTAATCCCGCGCCTTGGGAGGCCGAGGTGAGTGGATTGCCTGAACCCACGGGTTCGAGAACCGCCTGGGCAACTTGGCGAGACCTCATCTCTACAATAAATCAAAAAATCAGCCAGGCGTGGTAGCGTGCGCCTGTAGTTCCGGCTCTTTGGGAGGCTGAGGCGGAAAGATGGCCAGAGCCCAGCAGGTCGAGGCTGCAGTGGCCGGGAGCGGCCACTGCACTCCAGTCTGGGCGACAGAGTGAGACTCCAACTCAAAAAAAAAAAAACAACTCTCTGTAGTCCTTTCAGGACGTTATTATAAACCTGAGTGGAGTAGGGGGTGTGTTGAAAGATTTCTTTCCAGGAAAAATACAACCGCAACCTTCCCTCGTGGTTTTCAGCGCTGGGATGTGCTGGTGCAAACCTGGAAGGGATCCGTAAACAGAAAACCCCAGAAAGGAGTTCCTGCTGGTGGAACAGACAGCCCCAAGGGCTTTGGGAAGCGGGTGTCATCCCTGCTCTGTCTAGGGAATTGTCTGCCCTCTAGAGGCAAGTTGGGGCAACCGCTAAAGAATATTTCTATTTTGGCTCCTTGAAGGAATAAAAGTAAAGCCAAGGCAGAGGGTACAGAGGAGACCAAGACCTCTGTCTGCTGCTGCTGAAGGTGGCGGAAAATGCCCTCAGCAGTGCCTGGCTCTCTCCTTTCTTTGGGAATGTGGTCACTTGGGGGGAGAGATCATGAAGTGACCGGCTGGCAGCCTTGCCATCCCAGGTCAGAGCTGCCTCTAAGAACACACCCCTGCTGTGTAGACCCTGACCTCCTGCCCCCTTGGGCTTTCGAGGATAAAGAGAATTAAGGGAGAGGAAATTATGGTCAAAGACCTCGGTAGAACAGCTGTGTTTCTAAATCTAGCCAAGGCTGCATAACATGGAATTCTTCATCTTCAATTTTGAAAAAAAAAAAAGTTTGCCTTCGATTAGATCGTGGAGGTGGTCACACTCCACGTTTAGCTGTGAACATGCTAAAACTCAGTAAGGTGTATGATTTAAACGGGTGAATTTTACGATATGTGAATTGCATCACAGTGAAGCAGTTTAATACATAAATGGCTGCCCCACAAAGTGATTTAAAATTCCTTTACCAGGTCAGGCTCGGTGGCTCAGCCTGTAATCCCAGCACTTTGAGAGGCCGAGGTGAGTGGATTGCCAGAGCCCACGGGTTCGAGACCAGCCTGGGCAACTTGGCGAGACCTCATCTCTACAATAAATCAAAAATTAGCCGGGCGTGGTAGCGCGCGCCTGGAGTTCCAGCTACCTGGAAAGCTGAGGCGGAAGGATCCCTGGAGCCCAGCAGGTTGACACCAGGGTGGCCATGAGTGTGCCACTGCACTCCAGCCTGGGTGACGGAGTGAGACTCCAACTCAAAATAAAATAAAATAAAATTCCTTTACCAAAATCTCAAGCAGAGAAGACATTTGTTGGGTTGTTTGCTTGTTTCTGACTGTGCAGCACCTAATTCCCATTTGAAATAACATCTTGCTATCAGTGAAGAAACTTAAAGGAAGAGAGTCTGCGTCTCGGACCTGCCCACGGCACAGGAGAGGCCAGATGATGTGAACTGGACTTGTCCTGAAGCAAGATGCCAGACCCCAAAGAACAGCCCAAGAAGGTGGTGCCACCCAGCCAGTCGTGGAGGTCCCTGTGGGGACCCTGGCCTCTTCCCATCTTAAAGGCCCATGGTTCTTGCCCTTTTCCAAGCAGACCCTTTGGGCTCACAAAGTCGCAAGAGCCTTCCAATAGATTCTCTTTTGTTTAGAAAAGCAAGACACAGGCTGGGCTCAGTGGCTCAGCCTGTAATCCCGCAATTTGGGAGGCTGAGATGAGTGGATTGCCTGAGCCGGCGAGTTCGAGACCTGCCTGGGCCACTTGGCGAGACCTCATCTCTACAATAAATCAAAAAATCAGCCGGACATAGTAGCGCACGCCTGTAGTTCCGGCTACTTGGAAGGCTGAGGCGGAAGGATCGCCGGAGCCCAGTGGGTCGAGGCTGCGGGGGCCGGGAGCGGCCACTGCACTCCAGTCTGGGCGACCGGGTGAGACTCCAACTCAAAAAAAAAAAGCTCTTCACAGTGCTTAAAATATTTTTTAAAGAAATGTTAAGCAATAGTATGGTCTCATCCATTTTGTGTGTGTGAACTTGACAGTGCCAAATGCTTGAGAAAATCCTTTTCTTGAGTTAAAATTGTGGTAAACTTCAGTTCAGATAATCTCCTTCAAATTATTTTTGAAAATACTTGGGGTTACTAGAATCATAGAAAAGGAGATTTTGTGTAAATACACCTTAATGTGTTGTGAATTTGGGCTCAGGCCTTTTTTTCCTCTTATGTAAAAACAAGAGAACATGTAGGAATACTTATAAACACACAATCTAGTAATAACTGTCATTATAACAGCAACAGGAGGAACAGGTGGAGTAGAACCTGTGAGGACACAGGAGGGGCCCAGAGGGAGCTCTGGCAGGTGACAGCTCTGAGGAGGACTTGAGGGAGCATTCAGACAGGTCTCTCAAAGCCAGGTAAAGGCAGGGCAGGTGCACAGGCAGCCAAGAGGACTCACCTGCTTAGCTCCACACCTGCTGTTCCACCCACAGAATCAATCGCACACTAGAGAAGAGTCTCTTGCCAAGAGAAAACTGCTAGGAGGACTTAACAAGCCTCCAGAAGGAAATTCCAGGAGTCCCCCTGTGTATTCCTCATGGGAAGCCAAAGACCATCGGCCACCCCAAGCCCTTCAATGTGTGAGGCACCTGTGGGATGCTAACGACCTGGGCCATCCCAGAGGCTGGAGAGAGAAAGACGTTCAAGCCAATGTTCCCAAGACCCTGTTCACGCCCACCTGCAGTGTGTGTACGGGGATCGGAGGAGGCTCTGTATGA